AAACCGTGGCAGGACTGCCCGCATGAATAAAGATGATGGATGCTCCTGGCTAAGAGTAGGTGTAATACTACGACGTCTTTAGCCCTGGAAAAGTCATGACATTATCAGAGTTTTCTTCTGGTTCACTGGAGAGTTAAGAGGAGCTGTAAATAGTCCTGTTCTGATTACGAGGCGCTCTGAGCGTTGAAAGGCGTTGGATCATCTCTGTTTCTCTTCGGTGTGGAGGTTCTTTCACCTTGGTTTATTGTCCTTTCTGCATTTTCATGGCCTTTGATTTTACATTAAAGTTTTAGATAGTTGAAAGCCAGTGTTTTACAGAGACCACAGCGAATGGGTTGCTGGGATTACAGGTGGATTGCCCGTGAGCATTTTGGTTGTATTTTAGCACAATTATCAGCACATTGTTTGCATCCCCAAAGTAATTTTTAAATGTTTTAAATGTTTTCAGTTGTCTTCCATTGTGCAGCTCTCAAAAGCCTGTAGTAAAATATTCCCTCCTTTCCAGCTTTGCCCTTTCTAATTAAACAAATTGTTAATTCCCTTTCCCAATTCCAGGGAAAGCCAGCAAAGCATGTAACAAGCACAGTGGCTTGTTACAAGCTTGTGCCACCTCCTTGCGTTGTATCCATCTCCATCGCATCCAGGAATCCAGCTGCCAATTCTTGGTGCTCCATCAGAGGATGCCCAATGTTTTTGCATGTTGGCAAGTGTTATTTGAATACAAGTATTTCAGGAATAAATTTAAAGGTCTCTTAAAATTCTTGTAAATGGCTGTGTAGATTCCATGAGGGTTTCTTTTGGAAGGCAAATTAGATGATTAACCTGAAAAGATTTATGATGATTCCGTATTATGCTTTTAGTGAGAGGGAGAAAAAAAAAGAGGACATTCTTTCCCGTTTCAAGTAATTTTAAGTATTTTTTTTTTTCCGAGGGGGAGTTTACTATTTTCTCTTTTCATTGCTAACCTAAAGCACAGTGGATATGAAACCTGGATATGCAGATTTTGTTCTGGGATTTATAAACTGTAATAAGAAGCTTGCACGGGTGTTTTAAGTCAACATAACCTTTGGAAGTACAGACAGACTTTGGAGGGCTTTGGATTTATTAATATTAGCAGCAGTCAGGTTTGCACAACTGAGTCTTAGCTGAGCTTGAAGATCCAAGCAACAGGCGTGGGGGGTCCTGGAGGAGCAGGAGGTGCCGGGTGCCCGTCGTAATGGGTGGTGGGTGAGAAGATGCAGTGATGTGACGTGTCCATCTCCAGTGGCTCCGGGAGACTGGAGCCGGCTTCCTCTGTGCCATCACTCCACAGAGGAGACAGTGGTCCAGACCTGGGTTTGGGAGAGGCTGGTGCTGGCTCCAGCCGTGCCTCATGTAGGACCCAGCTCCTGTCTGCTGAGGAGGAGGATGTTGTCTTCTTCAAAGCTCTAAGCAGAATTGGCGTCTTAAATATAAAAATCATTAGATGGGACATAATTAACGTTCCTTATTGCACATTAACGTTACCCAGAGTCAGGCTGCAGACATCATTTTCTTTGATTAGATATGTAGCTTTAAAAATTAAATTAATCCCAACCTCTACACTATTTATTGGCCTGTTTCCCTTTCCCTAGCTATCCATTATGATCTGGAGCCCTTGCCTGTGCTGTCTGGGTAGATTAGGTGAAATTAAAGCAGAGTCAGCCTTCCGGTTCCCCGCTGGCCTCTCTCCGTTGGAGCTCAGAGGATTTACACCATCTCTGGTGTGGACATACCTCTCAGCTTTCTTCTTCCGCCCCCTGTTCGTAAGGGGTCTACAGATCCTTCAGAGTCTCCCAGGAGCCATACAGACCCCAACCCTCTGAATTCAGTTTCCTTGCAGAAAGGTTTCATTCCTTTAGTCTCTTTTTACAGCTTCCCAGAGGTTCGTGGACCACAAGGTCAAGCAGAGCTGCTGTGCATCGCTGTGGAGCTGTGTTGGGATGCTTGTGCAGCTCAGCCTCTGATGAGCCAGTGCCTGCATCCCTTGCTGGTGGGACCGTTCCTCACATCGGGGCTGAACGTCCCCATTGGGACTGAGACAGGGAGAGCTTTTGGTCCATGTGGGGTTTGGCCATGGAGCTCTCAAGCTTCGTTGAAGAAGCTGGCGCCTTCCCTGTTGCCTCCCATGCTCGGCAGTGCTGTAATTAAAGCTGGCCGTGCAAGCGTGATCTGCATCAGGTCTCCCCGGCAATGAGAGCCCAGGGGAGCACAGAGCCGAAATTACAGCGGCACTGAGCTGGCCCCAGGAGATGAGGGGATGGAGAGGCCAGGGACAAGGCTGCAGCCATGTGCTGGGGAAGAAGCAGCACCCGAGCTGCTCCATCTCGCCCCGCTTGAGCACTGCTTGCACAGTCCATCCTTGGGACTTGAAGTGATAAAACGATTTTTTTTCCTTTCTTTTTTTCTACTCTATTGATATATGTCGGGGATGGAGAGGCCAGGGACAAGGCTGCAGCCATGTGCTGGGGAAGAAGCAGCACCCGAGCTGCTCCATCTCGCCCCGCTTGAGCACTGCTTGCACAGTCCATCCTTGGGACTTGAAGTGATAAAACGATTTTTTTTCCTTTCTTTTTTTCTACTCTATTGATATATATTCAGTGACAAATTTAACATACAGGAATCCTCTTTCTCGTGGTGCTTGTCCCTGCCAGAACTCATCATTTGAGCGTGGCTTCATCCTGGATCCGTCTGAGCTGGTCACCTGAGCAAACACAGTGTGCAAGTCCGCGTTGATGTTAGCACTTTGCTTTCAGCACCTCCTCAGGCATTTTACTGTGGTGTTTGGTCACAAAAATCCAACCCACATTCTACAGCTTTAATCAGAAAATGCAGGATTTTCTTTTCCCCCTGATCCCTTTCCGTTATCTTTTTTTGTTTTCCTCTCTTCTTTCTTCTTTCATTGATTATTCATTTGTTTCTCACTCCAACATAGGAGTTTGCAGCAAAATCTGGGGCACCCCGGGAGCAGGGCTGCCTGACCCAGTTGCAGCTCCTTCCCCCTGCGGCGTGGGGCTCTGCTTGCCCTGCCACACTGCGGGCAGCAGCAGGGTCCCGTCTCCAGCTCCCCCCGCCTGGCCCAGGCTGCTCGGAGGGAGGGAGGGAGGGATGGATGGATGGATGGATGGATGGATGGATGGATCCCATTTGGCTGCAGGGCAGGTTGTGGTCGGCTTGTTTACAGCAAGGGTTTTGAAAGACCAACCTGGGGAGAAAAAATTTGAAGTAAGGCACAGAGAAGACATTAAGGGACATCACGAATGGTATTGCAAGGGATGTTTTCTTACTCTCTTTAGCGTGTTTTAAGTCTCTGGGTACCAGAGCTAGTATGAGAAGTGGAAATTTGCAGTGAGAAATCAGGCAATTGTCCTTCTCTGGTCTGCACTGAATTAATCTTGTTGCTAACAAAGCTCAGCCTTTGCTGAGATGGCTCTGAAGGTCCCTTACCTCCAGCAGGCAGGGACGTTTCAGCCTGTGGTTCAAATAAATACTTTCAGATCCACCCGTTTTACTTGTTACTGTGACATTAATGGTCATTGCAAAGCCACAAGCAAGACCCAGTGGTGTGAAACTCCTTTTCTTTATACAACAAAAAGGAACAGCACCCACCAGCTGAACCGTACCTTATAAATATTCAGTATGCAGTTTGTAGGAATGTGAGACAAAGCCAGACAGATGAATTATTTAATGCTTTTAAAGAATGCAGCTTTTAGTTTCTCCTTGCGCTGGCCTACTTTATTGTATCAGTAAATCGATCTTTAGTAAATTCATTTCCCTCCTTTTGTTTGAGCAAGCAGTGGGCATCGTGGGCTGGTGGAAACCTTCTCCGTCCATGAGCAGATGCCAGGACACCTCTGTAGCTGCAGAATCAGGCATGAAGTGTCAGAAGAGGGCTGAGCTCTTGTAATTCATCTCGTGCCTTTTGATTTGCATTAGTACATCCAGCAAAACGAAAAGCGCAGGGCGGGCAGTTTTGGTGGGGACAGCCTGTGGGTGACAGGGTGGTGTGGCACTTCTGAGGCTGCTTTGGGACAGCCCATAGAAGGCGATGTCAATGAGAGCCGGACGCGTACTGTTAGGGGGTTTTCAGAATCTCCTCGATCATTTTTGTGGCAAACAAAAGAGATGGAGCGAGCTGATATCAAAGCTGGGTCCCCCAAGCTCCCGGCAGGATGGGGCTTCTGTGTGTCCCTGCAGGGCTGGGACAGAGACACCAGCCCAGCTCCCTCCCCAGTGGCAGGGTGTCTCTGGCTTCATACTGAAGTGCTAACAGCACCAAGATCATGTCCCTTGGGCTGGATCAAAGCCTGCTGTGTCCCATGTCTGGCCACAGAACAGCCAAAGCACAACCATCCACCTCCCAGTGATGCTACCACAAATCTGAAACGTCGCCAGCCTTTCCAGGCAGTAAGGAGTTAGTCTGGAGTACCCGCCTAAGAAAAGAACATTAAAACCACCCAAAAACGTTCTTCCCTGGCAAGGATGGGAAATGCAGTCCCACTCCTGTGTAAGATTTTGTAGACACAAATGCAGAAGCGGAGCATCCGTGGAGTTTTCTCTGGGTTTGTGTTCAGCCTGTGCTCCTGCTCATCAGCCAGTCTGGTCACCTGATTAATCACATTAATAGATTTCCCTGCTTGTTTGCATGCTTGTTGAAAGCCTGTTGCAGTCAGAGCTGACAGTTCCTTGGGGAAATAATGTCAGAGGTGATCAGGGTCGCCAGCTGGGAGAGGAAATGGAGTTGGCAATGGCCAAACTGGGAGCAGTCCAGTGGGTCCATTGACAATCCTTCCGGTCAGTAAAATCAGGGACTCTACTTTCTCTTTTTACGTGGTGTTGTAGCAGCAGCACAGTAAATACTCCTGGAGAAATGTGTCCAAAAATGCTCTCTGGACTACAATGAGGAAGTCTGAAAAATTCCTGTGCTGAAGACTGACATTCTTTTTCTCTCTTTTTTCTTTTATTACTTTTGTGTTATATAGTTTTCTACTAGTTTTCTCCTGCCTGGTGCTGTCTGTCTTTTCGACCATTGATGAGTACCAGAACAGCTCAGAAGGGGCCCTTTACATCCTGGTAAGTGGGGGGCTGCAAATGAAGCCATCAGTGAGGCATTAAAACAAAGTCAAACACACACAAAAAACCTGAGTCTGGGGGTGTTGAACTGGGGCAAGAATTTAAACTGTCGCTTGTGAGAAAAGGAATCCTGGGACCTGCAGGTAAGAAACAGGGAAAATGTGGAAAGGAGAAATCTGTATCTGGAATAAACTAAAAATGTTTTTAAGGATCCTTTAAAACCCTTCTTCATAAACTTTTTCTTTTTCTGCATGTATCTTCACTTGCAAAACACAGTAGCAAGACTGATCCCAACTGAAAAGCAGTTGGATGTCCAACAGCTCCCAGCGTTTAAAGCTGTGGATGTGCTGTGTAGGGAGCCGCCCGTGTAGCTGCCTCCTCTCCCACGCTGTAACATCCCTGCAACTATTTGATCTGACATCAAGCTGCAGAGTTTTGTTCCTCAGATAGCCCAGCATCCCTTGCAATGTGGCTTCTGTCGATGAGGATCCAGCTGAGATGCTGCGTGCACCGCCGCGTCGCGGGACTGCCACGTTCAGGCGTCTCCTTTCCTTTTGTCTTTCTTCCTGGTCCCCAGTCCCTGCCCTACACCGACATCAAAAGGTGCTGCAGACTAACTGGGGCTTCGTCAGGTTTGATATGTGAGGAAGCCGAGGCAAGGGCCACTTGTGAAGAAACCAGAGGGAAGGGAACGTGCGCAGGGTGTTGGGGTGGCGATGGGAAGAGCTGCGATGCACGGCATCGGTGTGCTCGCCTGGCGTCGAGGGATAGAGGCTCTCCACCGCCCCTGCACTGGATAGCCCAGCACACAGAGACAACCCAGTTCAATTTTTTAGGGAAAAAGCTTAAATCCCCTGTGAAGAGTCCTAGGATGGAGTAGCTGGTGATTCCCATCTCTGGTCTGCCCTGAGCTGCTCAGCACTGTCCTAGTCAAGTCCTGGAGACTGATGGTAGGGAGAGAAGCAGTACTCATCAGTCCTGTGATGAGAGACACAAACACAATACGAGAAGGTGTTAAACTAGTTCATGGCTACAACGTGCAGTACCTCTCACCACCCCAGGGGAGAGGCGAGGGAAGACACAACAGCAAAGATCTGACAACCTTTCAAGCTTGGGCTCTCCATTTAGTGATGCAGACAGCTCTGTGATACGTTTTCTGGGGTGTGCAGAGTTTAGGTTATGGGTTTGTACTTGATTCTGGAGCATGCTCTCCATCACGCTGCTTTCTGGATTAACGGCGTTGTCTCCCTTGCAGGAAATCGTCACCATCGTGGTGTTTGGAGTGGGGAAGGTTAAAATTGGCCCGCAAGCCTTTCTGCGTCATCGGTAAGACCGGCCTCCCTGCATGGGATTTCCCAAACCAAAACGGCTGTTGCAAGCTCTTGCTTCCATGGTGCTCCGGTTTCTGACATGCATTTTGGGGGCTGATCCTCAGCTGCTTCATGGTCACCTTGAGCAGAGAAAGAGCACAAAGGCCAAAGTCCTAATCCGTGGACACGGTTTTTGTTATTCTGCATGAGGTCCCCCCTGTTTTCTGCAGACCTGGGAGCCATCCCGTTGGGTACTGTAGGCATTGCTGACAGCCACCCACAGCCACAGAAATGGGGTTCAGCTGGGAGAAGCTGGGCGGAGGAGCTGGGATCCTGTTATCCTGTGTCCAACCTCAACACCAAATCGCTCACAAGTCATTGAAACTCTCTGTCTGACTTCGCCTTCCTTGGTGCTGATGAGCTGCCTCACAAGGGAGTTATGAGACTTAATTAATTCTTGTTTGTAAAGTACTCGGCGATCCTCTTGAGAAAGGGGCCATCTGTGCACGCAGTTATTTTTACTGGGATAAGGAGTGGGCAGAGAGGCCGTGCCATTCGCCATGCAGCCTGCTTTCAAACGCCCGGGAGCTGGGGCTGGTCATAGGCAGGATTTTAGCTTATTCCACAGAATAGCACTTCTATAAAATTTGCATAGAAAACCAGGGAAGAGGGAGGTTTTCAAGATCCTTGAATCGGAAATATGTAGAGCAAGGCTTTTTTTCCTGGCCTTCCTTTGTCCACAAGCACCCTAGGATTGCTATGGTGGACCTTGAGATTTTCATTCCCGATTTAGATGGGGGAATTCACACCTCTAGACAGCTCTGTGTAACAGGCAGATGCGGCTGATTAAAAAAGGGCATTTATTTTGCAAGGATTTACTGCAGTTTAGCGGTGTTAACACTGAATCATATCAGAATTCGGGCTTTGCAGTATTTAACACATTTTCTATGGGAAGAATGAGCGTGGAGAAGGAAACTAGGATGTTTCCATCAGGGGTGTAGTGGCTCCTTTCATCCAGGTTATGATTTCTGCCGTGTCCTTCCAGCACAAGATACAAGTGACAGAATACCCCTTTCACATGCAGTCTTCTGCTGCCGGTGGCAGCAGGAGTGCCATTTGGTCGGGGTTCAGCAGCGTTTCTTCAGCTTTCAATGCCCTCTGTTCACGCAGACATCATGGTGCTGATCGCGTCCATCGCTGTGCTGGCGGCAGGGTCCCAAGGGAACGTCTTTGCCACCTCGGCGCTCAGGAGCTTGCGGTTCCTGCAGATCCTGCGCATGATCCGCATGGACCGGCGGGGCGGCACCTGGAAGCTCCTGGGCTCTGTGGTCTACGCACACAGTAAGGTGAGCAAGCCCCGAGTGAAGATATTGAGTCGCTTTTCGTGTTTCTCCCCACCAGAGACACAACTTTGGTTAGTTCTCCACCCCAAATATCTCCCAGGCCTGGGGAGGTTGGAAAGTCACCGTAGAGCAACACAGCGAGCAATGCAGTCAGAGACACAAGGTCTGATGAAGCTCTCCAAGCAGTAGAAGAGAGAAAGGAGGGTTGTTTAGATGTTTGCAGGGAATATCTTGAACGTAATGAGCACCTGCCCACTGGCACAGCTCATTTCAAAGAGTTAGCAATTAGCCAGCAGCCTCATTAAGCACAGGTGGTGTTGGGAGCTCTTTGTCTAGGATGCACATTTCAAAGAGGACGTGTTTCTGAAAGCGCATCCTGCAAGCAGCAGCTTCTGGCAGACACAATTACTGTGCTGGGTTCCTCTTCCCAACGTGAGATCACATACCAGTCACGGAGATGATCCCTGGTGTAACACACCTTGGCCTTTCTCTGGTTTGGGAAGAGTTTGTTGATAATGTGTTTGATTTGCTGCTGAATTATGAATTTAATTTTTCTCCTCTTTCCTGCACTTTTTCCATTGAAGAACTTAGCCAGCTTGTCCAGAACTATGTAAAAATCATAGGGAGTTTGTGGGTCTCTTGTCCACCCTTGTATTAACTCAATCCAAAAACAATCACTCCTGTGAATCCTGAATTTAAACTTCCCTGAAACTGGGGGATATTGTGTCCAGACCCCAGCTTTGCAGCTCCTCTCCAGGTAGCGGAAGGGACCTGCCCTAAGAAGATATGGGGATTTCTGTTTCAGTTTTAACCCCACTTCCCTGTGCAAACTGGGTATATTATTTTTTTTAGTCTCAATTCCACATCTTGAAATAATGGAGCTATTAATACTCCGTTTGCTCTGTGTGTTTGGACACTGGGATTTTCAGGACAGGGATTGCCCCGTGTGCGTGGCGGGGCCATCACCAGTAAGTGGTCCTGTCTCAAAAAGTGGCACTACTGATCTCCAGCCGCAGCCCCAAAGCCAAAACAAATGCAGGGAAAGTTCAGATCTGAGGCCAACCACGAACGAGTAACTCAGCTTTTGGAGATGTGCACCAGGGTTGCAATTATTCTCTTCTCTCCCTTAACGATCTTGCAGGAGCTGATTACTGCCTGGTATATTGGCTTTCTGTGCCTCATTCTGGCCTCTTTCCTGGTATACTTGGCTGAGAAAGGAGAAAATGAGCACTTTGATACATACGCCGATGCACTCTGGTGGGGTCTGGTAAGTAATTTTCCTAGAACAGCTGCTGGTTATTAAAATAAAATGTCCATTAACCCTCCATCTTCTATCACTTACGTGAGGAATCGACTTAGGGAGTGCTTAGTTAACATTTTTATTAAATGGCTTCAGGCTTCTCCATTTAGCTCCTTTTCTTAAATAAACCTCGTAGAAAATGTGAAAGGATCGCGTTTTTTGAATTAGCTGGAGCTGCAAAGAAACTGGGATCTTGCGCGCTCTCAGTCGAGGGATTTAGCTCTGTCATGACAGTAGAGGCAGGTCAGCTAAAGACCCCACGCTATGGGATGCTTTGATCATCATTGTGGCAATTATTGCTGCCTTTTAATTATTTAGAATCATACTTGGGCGATGCACTGTTAAACACTCTGGAATAAATTTTATAAAATTAACAGGGTCTCGGTACCAGAAAAACTTCAGTGCTGAAAGCCCCCCCCTTTCGCATCCTTGCTGACAAAGGAGGAGAGGACAATACTTTTTGTCTGCTCCATGTGTGTGAATTATTGGATTACCCGATTAACAAAGAGAGAATTAATGACATAATAATCTTCTTGCATTGCTGTTGTTCTGCTCTGACACTGGCGCTAGTTTGGCCTTGATTACAAAGCGAGTAATGAAAATCCCAGATCTGATCAAATCCCAGCAACAGGCTTGGGGAGGAATCGGTTGACCAAGCAGCTCCTCAGTTCCAACAAAGGGAAAGCAGCAGTAAATTGCTTGTCAAGCCCCTTGGTCATGACAGAAAAATAAAAACAAAGCCCAATTTGGCATAACTAGAAAATAAACAATGAGGAAAAAGTGACAGCCCGGGTTCGAGCTCTGTCTAGGGAGAGCCATGTGCGGATTTATTCCTCCTGCGTCCCAGGCTGTGCGAGCCTTTGGCAGAGGATCAGCTGCCCCGGTTTCAGGGCACGGAGGTGCACCAGGCTGCTTTGCCACTGGGAAGCTCCGAGCAAAATTTGAGCTTCATCAAAACAAACAGGTTTAGTCACTGTTCGACTCACGGGTCGAGCAGCAACAGATGTGAAGAGATGGGCAAAGTAAATCAAACTGCAGGTTCAGAAATTTGTCCCTTGGTCTGATCTTAGTGGATCCAATCCTTGTAGTTGTCTACATAAGTTACAAAAGATTTGTAAGCCAGCTTTGCAGTGATTATGGAGAGAGCATTGCTTTGACTTTGTGTCTCAGTAAGGAATAGCCATGTAGATGCATTTTCTAACCGCTTTGTCAAAATGGCATCTAATTGATAGGGCTTTTAGTGGGTCCAATTAAACAGTGCTTGGGGATCGTGCTTCCATTTGTGTAAAAGTGATTTTATTCTAAGCTGAAATTGTGCCACATCAGCACGGTGTCAGCTCCCGGCCCTGGGGCCAGCTCTGGCCGCGGAGGCAGTGGGACGGGGACAGCTTTCCACTTGTCACAGGGTCTGTTGGGGTCCATTGGGCAGGACTCTCAGAGAAGATGTTCCTGGTCAGACCGTCTCTCTCTGCCTTGCCCTGCCAGTCCCAGGCTCTCCAGATCCTCTCGGAAGCCTCAGTGGATACCCAACATTTCCCACTAGTGATGTCCATGGACTGAAGTGGGAAAATGTGTCTTTTCCTGCAGTTTGGAGTTCAGGGGATTCTTTGCCTCCAACAAATCTCTCGGCTTCTTCCACACACACAGCAGCTTGCCAGCACTGTCTTGGTGTACTGCAATAATACTGAAAAGGGGAAAATCATCCCTAAATTAGGTTGGGTGAAGCAGGCATAATTCATCCTGTCGGGTTAATGTGCTGTTTTTAAATAGCAAGGGAGACCAGCTACCAGGCACTGCTGGGAAGATTAGGAATAAACAGCATCAGGTCTTTGTGCTGGCGGATAGCCCTGCCTTCTTTCAGGAGATGCCGAAAGGGGGCTTGGGGGACCTGGGCCGGTTCGCTTCCCCTGCCGAAGGCACAACCCAATCTCCCGCGGGAGGCTCCGAGCCG